TCCAATGATAAAATACCAACAAGTAAGTTAACAGCCTACTGGTCTCCTTTCTCGCTTTGCCAGAGAAAACTAGAGCTCATTACTTTGCTGTTTGTCAGCGTTGAAAGCCAGTTAGGATTCAGCTAAATGTTAGCATAAAACTAGCATGTATTAGCTAGCTAGCTGGCTACAATTCAGCCACTATATGAACATTGATATAATTGAACGTTGATATAATTCATGTTTCGTAGGTTTCATAAATGAGCCCTGTTCGCTTCTTGCACATTGTTTTCATGTTGGTGGTGAGGGCTTTGGCAGTGCCAGGGCCAGTTCCACCAGTTCTACTCGTGCTAATGCGGCTGCCCACGGAGAAACAACCCCTTTCACTTAGCAGAAAAGCTCAGGATGTCAGTTGAGAGGAGGGAAGAACGGCACAGAGCGATAACCAGTTTTATTGTTAAGGATTGCAGCCATTTTCGACTGTTGAATGTCCCAGGTTTCGGTGGGGTACGCAGGGTAGATTATCTGTTTTATCCCGCTATGTCAGACCTGTAACAGTGGTTACAGTAATGTGTTTGTGCTTTGTGAAATACGCTTTTCTCTGTGTTTTTATTTTTTTAGAGAGATGACGAAGCATTAAATCTGAAGTATCAGCCCCCATCCAGAGATATGCCCTCAAACACACTAATATTTGCCTGGTATGCAGTAGAAAAAGAAAATCATAATAATGTTTATTCCTTTTTTGAATGTTTTGTCACAATTAGAAAAAAAGGTATTAAAAAAGTATCGTTATGGTATCGATATCGAATTGAAAGTATATTGGTATCGATATCAAACATTTTCAAACGATACCCAGCCCTGCACCTGAAATGCCCATATCCAATATTACATCAGTAGTTAAGAAGTTTAAAACAACTAGGCCTGTGCTAACCCTGCCTGGAAGAGGACGTAAGCGTATTCTGCACCCACGCACAGTGAGGAGGATGGTTAGAGAGGCAAACGTTTCTCTGCAAAAAGCATCACTGTTGGAGATTAACAGGTGCTGGTAGCATTTTGTCTCCAAAACTGCAACTAGATGTCGCCTCCTTGCCAGCAAACTCTTTGGAAGAACTTTTAGCAATAAACAGTCAAGGTGGATTTGGCATGAAAAGAAGGATGGTTATACAGAAAAATCCCCATCCCTGCTGTTTAGGAAGACCTGTGATGCTTTTGGGCTGGTTTTATTGTAGTTTTGGAGACATCCCTGTATGTAAAGGCACCCAAATGGCTGTGATCCTCAGTTCCTCAGTGGGCACTGCAGTAAAAACCAGCATGCTTGTGTGACGTATATCAACACATGGACTACGAGAACTCGGGAATACTTCAGTAACCCGTTGTCAATAAAAAACGTCCATCACTGCATCCACAAATTCAAGATTGTGCCAAGGAAGAAAAGGACAATCCAGATTTTTACCAGCGTGAAGTGCAAATGCCAGGATCTGTCATGGTATAGTAAAGCAATAGGCCACAAGAGGCCGTGGGTAACGCACAGCCTCAAGTGGGGGACAACATAAAATATGATAAATATACAACTTGGTTGTTGTAAGGTGGCCATAGGAGTGGTATATTGTGGATTTTACAACGGCTTCAAACACGGCTTAGCCAACCAGATCCGTTTTCTAAAGGTGTATAGAGGTGTATCGAGGTGTATTAATGGCCATGACATGGGTAACTTACACATCTGTAAAGGTACCACATATGCTGCCTTCTAGACAACGTCTTTTTCAGGGATGTCCAGGCTTATTTCAGTATGACAATGGCAAATTCTCCTTTTATTAAAACAGCATGGCTGTGTAATCACAGAGTGTGGGTGCTAGGTAGGCCTGTCCGCAGTCCTGACTGCTCTCCCAAAGAGAATGTGTGGTGCATTATTAAGGGCAAAATACAACAACATATGGTTGCACAGCTGGAGATTGTATAACTGGAAATTGGCCAAAAAATCTGCTTTGAAACCTGAATCAATTGGCATCTTTAGTCCCTAAACGATTATTGAATGCTATTAAAAGGAAAGGTGGTGTAGCACAGTGGTAAACATGCTCCTGTCCCGACTTTTTGGTAAGATAACATCAAATTTGGAATAAGCAAATATTAGCCAAAGGGTACAACATCAAATATTATGTGTTCAGTTTAATACAGGTTGAACAGATTTTACTCATCCCTGCCCTCTGATTTCATTAGTCACAAACTGTTACACCTTCTTTAAAGCCGAGGTTTGTGTAATACATAAGTGCATGGTATGACTTCATGTCCTCACACAGCATAAAAAACAATCCTTTGTGTTTGTGAGTGTGTGTGTGCACATTTGTGTCTCCTGCAAGCCAGAGAGTAGTACTCCGTTCTATGACTTCGGCGCCCCTGGGGGAACATCCGGAGAGTGTTCAGAGACAGAAATGATTAAAGCTACAGTCACAGTGGAGAGGATCTCCGGGCCCTGGCTTTTTAGCTATTATGTAAGCACGACTGTGGCTGTTTTCAGAGATGGTGATATAAGCGACCTCTTTTTGGCAGTGCTCTCTTGTTGGCACTTTTTCTACAGTATGTAGTGGAAAGCAGTTATTGGAAAATCCACCACTCTTGCCTTTTAAAATGTTCCTTCTTTTAAAAGTCATACTAAATTGAGAACAATGTGGTCTGGGCCGTCCACATTATGACTGTGCTCAGACAAATTCATAATGTTCCGAACTTCACACAGTGCAAAAGAGCGCCCAGCACTGTTTACTAGGAGCAGGCATGCATGGCTATTTGAATAAGTGGATATCTCAGTTTAAAGGTTCTGTATCATGAAAAACTGAATTTGTTTTACTTCACTGAAAATAATATAAGTATATAAACACTGTTAACATTTCAAAGCACACCCTTACTCCCCAGTTTGTACTATACATAGTATTACTGTCCAAAAAAACAACAAATGTCCTTTACATTATGTGAAAATATCATGATGAATAGACCAATAGAAATGTTCATTAACTTGCATTGAAAGTTAAGAACTTTTAACTTCAACATCACGATTTTGGAGGTTTTTTTGTCGTTTTTTTTTTTTAAGACTAAAACGATAAATTGAAACTAAGCTGCAAAAACAGCTTTTTTGCAGTTTTTAATTCATTATTTTAGAGATGTCATGCAGACCACCTCATTTACGTTTTATGTATTCTCCTATTTAGCTGACTGCAGCTTAGCCCCACCCTTTCACATAGAAGTTATAAAGAGTGTTTCAGATTTTTGTTTTTTGAATGAGGCACAATACACGGCAGCCAATCAGAACAGAGATTATCTACATATACGTATATATATACCTTACATATAATTTTAAAGGTTAATGGTGGGAAATGGTCATGAAAAAATGTATTCTAATTGTTTTTTTGTTACAGGAAACCACACAATCATCATAACATTATAAATACAGTTTTATGCAATTATGTGTATCAAATTACATGATTTTTTTTTTTTAAGTCAACACATCCTCTACAGAGAACAAACTTAAATGGAATTTCTTTGCAAGTTTTAGTGCAGAATTTATATTAATTAGTTTAACATATAAAATGTGCCTTTACAGTCTGTTTGTTTTATGTTTTATTTTTTCCCCAATATGTTTAATTCTGCAAGTAAACACACACACACACACACACACACATTGTCTAAGTCGCTTATCCTCCTGGGCCGCAGGGGGTGCTGGAGCCTATCCAAGCAGTCATTGGGTGGAAGGCAGGAAACACCCTGTACAGGTCGCCAGCCCATCGCAGGGCAGACAGACAGACATGCACATTCACACCCAGGGGCAATTTAGTGTGTCCAGTTGTCCCGACTGTATGTCTTTGGACTGTGGGAGGAAACCCACGGGGAGATCCTGCAAACTCCACACACAGAAACGCTGGTCGCCCGGCTGGGGAATCGAACCCAGGCCTTTCTGGCTGTGAGGCAACAATGCTAGCAAATAAACAGTATAGTGAATTAAAACATGCAGAAGTGTTCTCTGTGAATGATGTATTAACTTATTTTCAGGTAGAAAATCAACAGAATGTCATTTGACTGGGGGTGTTCAAACTTTTGCATAAGACTGGAATACAACAGTAATGTAGAATATGGCCCTCAACTCTGTTTGACTAATCAGGTGTTTGATTTAGGCATGTATAGTTTGGAATACAAACATGAAATAAATTGTGTATTATCCTGTATTTTGACGTGAGATTGCTGGGAAGCACGCAGCTGATTTAAGTTTCAAACAAAAAGATGACAATCTAGTATGTTTGTGTAAAAACACAAAAATAAATCACTTGTCCTGCATCCGTCCGGATCTGACCAGCTAGTGAACTCCAACTCCCAGATCTTCCTTGGAGATCATGTGACTGACGACTGACCATCCACAACCAATCCTTGGTCTCCTTGACTAGAATACTAATATGCTGCACCTGTCTTGTTTTTCCAGGTGATCTAGAGCAGTTAGTATATAAAGCTAGGCTTTAGTCAGCACTTTGTGAGGTATTGCTTCTTTCACGTATTGCCTTTTGTGTGTCGGACTGTGTTTTCTGGATTTTCGACTCTGCCTTTTTGCCCTTTTTGATCTTGTTTGCCTGCTTTGTTGTGTTTGTCTTTGTGTATGTTTGGATTGTTTCGGATCTGACCCAAGCCTGTGTCCTGACAATGAGTTTGGATCACATTTTAACCAGTAAAGCCTCTTTTTCCAATTCTATCTGCGAGCGTCTGGTCAGTTCTGTCGTGTTACATCACTAAATTAGCCAAAAGTTTGCTTCTACCGGCACAGAATAAATTAACTTTAAACCTTATGTGTTTTTTTTTACTGATAACTATATAAAATACTTTCTTGCTTGGATATTTGAATACTGTTAGTTTGAAACTGTGGATGTTTAAATAGAAAATATTGGTTAAAAGGCACATCCCTAATGTATAACACAGTCTGTGCTCTGGCGGTCAGTCTGCTGTGGTCATGCATCTGATGTGAACTTCTCTGCTGTTTGTGTTTACAGAAGCACTGCAAGGGGCAAGCTTTGATGGACCTGGTGTGTGAACACCTCAACCTGCTGGAGAAGGACTACTTTGGACTGACCTTCCGTGATTCCGACAGCCAAAAGGTTAGAAAAGCTTTTCAAAGACAAGCGAGCTTTGATATTAAACTGACCTGTCTGTGCTTCATCACTCTTTATTCATCCCATTTTGGTTAAAATACCTACAGTACTTTATAAAAGTATAAAAGTACTCTTTTGTTTATTCAATTCCCAGTTAAAATGGGTTTTGTTATTTATTTTTCAGTGTCAGAAAAAAACAGAAAACATATTTAACAGAAAATTACATGGAATCTTCCGGCACTAAGCATAATGTTAAATCTGTCCACCCAACAGAAGTTTCTCTCAGATCTCACTGATGTTCCTCTTCAAACAAACATTCACACAATCAACTACTGTAACATCCAAACATGCCTTGTGCCTTTCTTTCTCGTGTGCATCTAAAATGGCTGAAGGAGAAGTTTCTGAGGTGATTAGATAGAAGACGCTCCACTTGCCTGAGAAAGAGGAAAGGCAAAGGTAAATAACTTAAAAAAACAAGGGTTTTCAAAACGAGAATTTAAAAAATGATTAAAAGTCACTGAGAAATCGGAACTCCTAACAACCACCTGGAAGACCTGGTCGACACCAAAACTGCCCCATCAGATAAACAGCACTTAAAGCTTCCATCTCTGAGAGAGAGGAGAAAATCAAGCTGCTTCAGATCTGAAAACATCCACAGGTGTTTCTGTCCATCCTTCCACTGTGGGAAGACGACTCAGCGCTATGGGTCTGAAAGGATGTGTAGCTGTTAAGAAGCTGTTACTGAAAGAAAGGAAGTAGATAAAAAAGCAAAACATTTGCACTAAAACTGAGATCTGAGATGTGGAGTGAGGTTTTGTGGACCGCCCAGTCTAAAATTGTAATTTATGCCGTTGTTTGGATTGTGAGAAGCAGAAAATACAACAAACTTCTAAGACTGAACTTTGAAGGTGTGAAAAAGATCTCTGCAGATTTCTAGCTAATATTTGATATTCATTTTAGTTGTTGAGGCTTTGGCGCAATTTTCTGTTCAGTACATGTTTTCTGCGTTTTCTCCTGACACTGAAAAATGAATAACTTAACAGATATTTTGACTGGAAATTAAATAAATGAAGGGTGGCTTCTGACCTCTGCATAGTCCTGTACATTTGGAGTAAATCATAAATTTCAAATTACATTTGTTTGCTTTTTTTGTGATCAAATGTTTTTGTTTCTTAAAATAAAGCTCCAATGTAATATCGAATATAGTAGGCAACAAAAAACATAGCAACAAAGTGGAGCACCCAGCCACCTATTATTCCCCTCCCACATAGTACCCATAAATTTACCACTGGTTATCCCTTGTGTGGTGTTGGTGTGTTTGTTACTCAGTGGTCTGGTGACCCACCGCATTATTGTTTTATTAAATCAATACAGCCATAACAGTTTATGTAAAAATACCAGATGTTTAAAATATCACAAGTGGCCAGTGTAGGGTTCTCCTTTAGCAGCTGCAGCCAGTCAGCAGCCTGTCTATGTTCTCCACCTCCACAGCACCTCCACACTTTTACGCCCTGCGGTTTCACCCAACACCACATGTGTAATATAAATGTGTGGGGGGTGAACAGAGTGAAGACACTGAAAATGGGTTATTTTATATGTTCTTCACAGAAAATGAGCAAAGAACAAGAATCTGAGGCTGAAATAATAATAAATTGCATCATTTTTTCTTTTGGTAAACATTGAAAATGAGTCCAACAGACCTGAACGCCACATAGGGGTTAATAGAAAAACAAACAAACAAACAAACCAATACAGTATAATGAATGTAATACCAGCAGTAATAATACAACAATGCTGCTGGGAATAAAACAGGTTTCACAATAAGCTACCAGTCCTCTTAGCTGCACTTTCCGGAGATATTAGTTTTCTATGTGTTGTATATGTTACAGCTGATAGTTTTGGGATGGAGTGGCTGTATTTTTTTGCCGGGTAATCAAGCTAACATTTGCATTTACGATTGCCTTTTTTAACCTGCTTGGTTTCGATCAGCTCGGTGACATCGCCACATAAACAAAAAACTCAGTATTGCTGTAGTGATTGTAAACAGAGATCCATACAGTTTCCCATTGTGTTGAGTTGAGCTTGTCTGTTCTCACAACACGTGCTGAGAAAGAATAGCAGAGCAAGGATGGGTCAATTGCATGCACACACCATCTATTCAGGTCTAAACTTTGGTCATTTTAAAGTTAACATCTGATGAAGCAGTGGGGGAACAGACAGACCTCCTATGGTACGCAGAAATGTGATGCATTCAAAAGGCTTGTTTATTCACTGCGGGACGGTGCATTTCGAGTCTGGAGGGGACAGGGTAATTGTTTTTGAAAGAGGCAATTTGGCGTAATTATGCCATTGGCAAGGATTAGATTAGTTAGCCAGATTCCAGTAGTGCTGCCAGGTGTTGGTTTTTTTTGTTTAAAGACTGATTAATGCATTTTAGCTCAACTCGTCCTTTGCTGAAGCCTCAGTCATGAAACTCATCTGACTTCCTGACGGATCTCGCTTGTGTAAGGGTGTTTGTTTTATGTCAGGCGACTACTCGATAATGTATCGTTTTCTGCCATTTGGGATACTTAAGTATGGAGTCTGAGAGGGTTCAATAGATCGAGCGTTACGCTCTCCTACAAGGCGTCCACTTCAACACGGCAGCTTTTTGTTCAACATGTCTTTTTGTGACATTTGAACTGAACCAAGGCGATTGAAATGCAATTTCTCAGCCATCACAAAGTATATCAATCTCCTGCCAAGCGGGGGAAAAGCACTCACTCCATTTATTATTCCACTGTGATATGTGACTGTGTTGTTGAAGACAGAGGAGGAATAATCAGCGCTTTAGCCTCGGAGAGGAGAGGGAGAAAGCCAGCTTGCTGATAATTGAGTGTTCTTCGCTTTTGGCCAGCCACCAAGGAAGCCAGGCAGATAATAGATGCTCAGTGCGCATCAAGGTATTTAAGCATGTTGATGAATTAGCCAAGCTGTAATTGCGCCAATGTAGAGTGAATTGCGGAATTGGTACACATTCAGTGGGACCGGTGGGGGTATGAATTTTCTATGGGGTAGCAGGATAGTTGTGAAAAAAGTACATAGCTTATATTATTGATCAGGGTTGCAACGATATCGACACCATCTCTGTATGTCTCTGTAACGGTGCATGCATGCACGACAGTATATGAAGCCTTTCATGTCTGCAGTGTTCAAAATGCTGCTGGTAGATTGACCAGCAGCAGAGAAAATGCTCATGGCAAAATCTGCCACAGCAGTATTTTGTGAAAAGGCAATGACAGTGGCTGATTTTCACTGGTATGTCAAAAAATAAGCCAGATAACACAATTTATCAACAAAATACACTGAGGCTACATTCACATTAGCAGGTTTGAGTGGCCCAAATCCAATTTTTTGCCTTAATGTGACTCAGATCTGATGTTTTCAGAGCTGTGTGGACACACAAATCTGATCTTTTCAAATCCAACCTGCTACGTTCACATTACAAGCCTCGTTGCTCAAATCCTTTTTTTTGCTCAAATCTGATCTCTCTGACACGATGGTTCACACTCGTTTAGGTAAGTGATTCAAATCAGCATGCATCATCACGTGAATGAATCACGTTCATCATCAGCACAAACTAACGAGCAGAACGAGCTTCGCTGAGAAGATAATTAACTCTGATCAGCTCTCAGCTTCATTATTAGAGCGAGACGAAGGAGAAAAAGGTGAGATGAGCTGCTTTTCCACCGTTTACAGGCTTTAACTTCTGTTCGACGCTGCTGCCATGGTAACGCTGAATGATGGTCACACGCAGTGGGGAAAAAGCACATGAATTCCGATCTGAGGATCACATTAAAGTCACATGGCCATGAATCGGATACGTATCCGATCTACGTCCACATATGAAAGTGACTCAGGTCAGATTTGAGAAGATCAGATTTGTGTCCACACAGCTCTGAAAACATCAGATCTGAGTCACATTAGAGCAAAAAACTGGAATTGTGCCACTTTAACCTGGTAATGTGAACGTAGCTTAATGCCTTTAGCTGAATGGCTGAGTGAGGTTTCTTTCAGTAATCACTCATTTCCCACTGTGTGTTCAGTTACAGTCTGAGTTAATGTTATTCAAGGTTGGTATTGAGGGATAGCCCTTAGCCTTGGTTTAGACTTTAGCATAGCTAAAGCCCTTTGTCCTGCATCACACAACAGCATGGTCTCATGGCCTGGTGCTTCAGTCAAGCCGAGATATTCGCAGCTCAACCGCTGCTACCGTTAGCTTAAATGACTGTAATATTTACTAAACTCCAGCAGAGTCTAATGCTTAGAGATGCTCATATGAGACAAATGACTTGAAAAATTCAGGCATGAAACAACATTTAGCACCTTGTTAGCTGAGCCAGAGAAGCTGCTATGTGTTTACTTGTACACACCACAGGTTTATTTCTGTATTGTTCAGTTCTGTTTTGCATGATAAAAATATTTGCATTAATTTAAGTTGTCAAATATGTTCTTAACTCATTTTATGCATTTTATAAAAAACAATTTGATAGTAAAAAAGCACAGAACACAGTTTTTACCAAAATAGCATATAAAATATAAATCATAAAACATTTTTAAAGCTTGGAATTTGGCTGACATTTAAGGATCGGTATTAGAAGGGGTAAAGTGTTATCAGTGCATCCTTGATTGATTATACCTATACCAGGTGACTGCATAAGCAAAAATGCACCATGTGCCACATTTAAGCATTAGATATCATGAGAATATGGTGACATGCCATACTTTGTTTAAACAGTAATGTAGCGCTAGTAGTGTATGTGATCTGTAGTCTCTTGATGTTGGCTCTTCACTTGTCAGGTCAAATTTGCATCTCTGGCTAGTGGGTAAAAATCATTGTGGCAGATTTAAACTTGAACTGACTAAAAATTGAGAGAGGAGTTTATGAAGGTCGGTGTGTTACCTGGACCAAAGCCAAATCCTCATAAAATTAGAAAACACTGTTGCACTCTGGGAGGAGGATTAATCAGTAGGTAGTGTTTATAATTTCGTTTCAGCAGTCTCACAGGCAGGTGGGTAAGTGCATCTTTCTCTAGCTCCATATATCTCTCAGTGGGAAATATGGTTATTGCTCATAAAATTGCATTTATTGCTGATAGCTGAGAGTGAAGCTGGACTAATGCAAGAGAAATCCCTTCTTTTAATACAGTACATTAGTGTGTGCACACTGCTGTGTTGGGTTAAATGCTGATTACATTTTGGGCTAGCACTATTATATTAGTGATCCTCTGATTATTTTGAGAATTAATCGAGTAGTCAAAGATGGAGCGGTTTTAAAGGTAAGGCTCAACAATAAAAATGGACTTTTGAACCATAACAAAGCATACATACCCTTTAAAACATCCCAAAGTACTATATTTTGTTATACAACAGTTAGTTCCGGGCACGCGAGCTGATTGGTCGAGAAGCGTTCTAACGGTGCTGTTATTTTTTCACAAACACTATCACTCCGCTGAGACGCTGTTGCTAAGCAACGACTTTGACAGCTGTTAAGCCATTTGACCGTTTTTACTTCTTACTTTGCCACAAACAGAAAACGGACACTTTTAAGATCACATTTGACCGACAGCCGATTTGGTCAGACTCTGAAGATGAGACGACACTAAACTCCCAAACTGTCAGTTGGTCTGGGTGGAGCTGGAGAACGAACTGCCGGCTGTGCAGCGAGTGGGCGGAGTTCGTTACTCTGACGTAGCAACAAGCTGCTCGTTAAGGAACTATAATTTGGTGAAGGAACTGCGAACATTAAAACATATTAAACGCCGCGTTCACGGCCCAGTTTATTAATTTATTACTTTATTTATTTAACTGTTGTATTAAAGCAATAGAACACTCGAGGAGTGTGTTATCGCCAATAACATCACGGCGGTGATGATCTACGGTGACCAAATCACAGCTGTGATGTTATTTCGCAATAACACACTCCCTCTCGTGTTCTATTGCTTAAGTAACACTTGTATCACATAACATTGACATAACCATGTCATAAACCTCTCATGGCAGGTATTATACATTATTAGTTGTTCAGTAATTTAACATTGTCGTGTTACCACTACCAGTAATAGTCATGACAGTTGTGATCATGGTTAAAGTGAGGACAGCTTATGTCACATGCTGATTTTTGCTAATTGTGTGCTCTAGTTTGCCATCATGATATCAAACAAACATAAAAAATGGATAGAACAGTTCCGGTTCTGAAATCTGGTTGGCTGTGCTCACTGCCATTGATATACAACAACTGAAGTCTGTATTAATACACAGAGATACCGGTATCATAAACACATATATAACCATGTTCAATATATCAGTGTTTACCCTGCGGAAGAGCTTGTTGATACTCTGGGGCTAACAGCTAAATAATATGTTCATCATGATTTGACCACTAAAACTTAAAAGTTGACAAAATGACTGGAATTTACAGTGATTGAGTTACTGAAAGTTCTATGCTCCAAAATTCTAAGGTTATATTTACCACTTATTACTAACCCATGTTAAAACAAACACAATGACCAGGGTTAGCTTTGGCTGAATGCACCTCGGTGGCTCTCATAAGCTGCTGCTGTCCACCACATCCTTCTCTATAATTTTCCTCACACCGCCATGCATCACACTTTCACTTTGAGAATGCAGACAGAATACACTGTTAGAAATAAAGGTTCTGTTCAGGTACATTTTTGTTCATCAAGGTACAAACAGTGTAAATGTTCCCTCAAAGGTTCAACAGTGGTTTTAAGGTCTGATTGTGAACCTTAAATAAGTTTTTCCAGGTGAAAAGTTCGTATTTGTACCTTTTCATAACCGAATGTTTTAAACAGAACAGTAAAATAAAAGCCTGGAGACGAGACGGGGTGTGTGGAGTCAGTACAGCTTAGAACATATCATTTCAGTGGATTATGGTTCAGTTATGTTCCCTGACTAAAGGTACTGAGATGGAGCCTTGAGGTTCCCACCCCAGTGACAAGAGGGGCACTGCCCCAGTGACAGTTTACTACCTTTATGTCTGAGAGTGTAGTTTTCTGTCTTATTGCTTGCTTTTGATATGATAGATTGTTGTGTTTGTGCTGTTGTCTTCTGAGAATATGGTCCCAAACACCGCTGTTTTTAGCGGTGGACCTAGCGGCCCTCATACATACAAATTCAGATATGCTCCTCCACCCATTCGTGTTGTTGATTTAAAATGAAATAAAATTAAATGAATGTTTTTCAAAGCTGCGTTATTTTTTATTTTTTATTTTTTTTACTAAATTGTGCTGTGAGTCACCTTGTAAGGCTTAAAATAGTGATTTAAAAGTCACAGTTGTCAGGTGGGAGTTTTTTGGACCACATCATACAGCTTACTTATTAATTATTACTTATTAAGATAACACGTAGAGGCTCAAAAAGAAGGTTTGACTCAGTGTTTAGCACAAAATGAATGTTATACTGAAGAGTGTGTGATGACAGTAGAAGACAGTTCACTTACATCCTCAGAAAACTTCACCAGGTTTTGACTGAGTTCTTTTTTTAATGCTCTCTCAACAAGCACACAATAATCAGATTAATCTGCTTGGGGAAGGGGTCCGGAAGTAATGTTACAAAATGGTCTGCATGTTGTGTGCAGTTACACATTTTCACCAGAGAGGTCTCCAAATACTCAAATCCTACATAGTGCAGCTTTAATGTTAACATTTAATCCCCTCATAAACATTTAATGTACATTCCTACATTGTCAACTAATCACTGCCAATTCATGGAGAAGGTAATCAGTGTTGTTTGTTTTAATTAAGTAAATGGGTTAATTCACTTTGATTGCATTCAAAGTTAAAATAGCTCCACCTCCTCGTTTCTACGCTCATTGTCCGTTTTATCAGCTCCACTTACTATATAGGTGTAGTTCTACAGTTACAGACTGTAGTCCATCTGTTTCTCTGCATACTTTGTTAGCCCACTTTTACCCTGTTCTTCAGTGGTCAGGACCCCCATGGACCGTGGTGGGTCATTCTCAGCACTGCAGTAACACTGACATGGTGGTGGTGTGTTAGTGTGTGTTGTGCTGGTCTGAGTGGATCAGACACAGCAGTGCTGCTGGAGTTTTTAAACACCTCAGTGTCACTGCTGGACTGAGAATAGTCCACCAACCAAAAAATATCCAGCCAACAGCGTCCTGTGGGCAGCGTCCTGTGACCACCAATGAAGGACTAGAGGATGATTAGCTCATACTGTACAGCAAGAGATGAGCTGTCGTCTCTGGCTTTACATCTACAGGGTGGACCAACAATGCGGATGCGTCTAATAGAGTGGACATTGAGTGGTGTGAACGAACTACAAAGTGCACCTATATAGTAAGTGGAGCTGATAAAATGGACAACGAGTGTAGAAACGAGGAGGTGGTCATGATGTTATGCCTGATCGGTGTATTTGTTTTATATTTCAATCTGTTTTATCTTCTAAGCCCAAGCTTAGACTTTATGAAGGCGGGCGATGTCTGTCTGATATTGGAAATGAAGTCGCTGCTGCTGCATTACAGCTTCTGTTGATTGGCTGTGATCTGCACTGATAGACCAAGCGCAGTGAAGCTAATTTGGGAGCACTGCGCGAAAAAAAGCAGATGCTGAGATTTGCATTCATCCCCGCCCGCTGGATCTCTCAGCGGAGCAGAGGAGTGCGCTTCTTCCCTTCAATTAAAGCATATGGAGAGGCCTCCACCGGAAACACTCCATGCAATTAGCGAGAGACGGAGAATCAAAGGCAGCGCGCTGCATATTAGCCACGTGTCAGAAGCACAAACACTGATGTGAATTCTCTGTTCTGTTCTGCAGAATTGGCTGGACCCCTCCAAGGAGATCAAGAAGCAAATGCGAAGTGAGTGCTTGACAGCTTGTAGTTTGATGCATGTGCATTCAGACGCACACACTATTATAGAATGATGCAAAGGAACACAGGGTAACCTGTTTATCAGATACACTTGTCTTTGTCTGTACTTGTTGGCCATTTTATCAGAAACACCCACAATCCAACGTAGGTTTACAATTAGTAACTGTAGCTCATCAAGTGGTCTTCTTATCGTTTTGCCGTATAACTTGCATGCATTGAAATGAAATGTCGTTCTTCAGGCCCCATGCTGCATAACACACACCAGCAGCACAATACACAGGACTACATAAAGTACAGATACACAACAGTGTTAAACGAGTGCATAACAGGTATACAACAGGGCAACTAAACAACAATATATATGAATGGACATCATATGTGGATTATTCTACCAAATTTGGTTCAAACATAATTCAGATTTTTACCTGATTTGGACGTTAGTTCTGAAATACTTTTGCTTTAAAGGGACTTTATACCTTAATTATGTTTATTTCATTAAAACAAACCAGCCAACGCAGCTTTAAACAGTTGTACACATATAAAATTGTAATATTTTTCATTAAAACACAATAAGGTTTACTTAACTGCAGAAAATGTGTTTCAGTAGTGACAATTCTTAATGTTGCACACTGATTTTTAGACTTTGGGACACATTTACTTCAAAACAATGAGATCTAACTGCTCAACATATGGCCATGAGGGACAGGGATGCAGCCTCACTTCCTGCTGTAAAATGCAGGGGTGTGGCTAGAATAAGGCTCCGCCTACATACTAAAATTAGGGTTAGGGTTTGGGACAGCCACCTCCCAATAGAAAGTACGCTACAAATGATGATAGTGTGTATATTTAGTCTATTACTATCTCAATTAATACCTTGAGTTTAAATAGATCATAACATAATTATTGTAAATATCAAAGATTTGAATATATATTTTTTTTTACTGTGCAACCACAGTTTGAACTACTTTGGTAGAATCCGCTGCTGTTAGAACAAAACCTCGTATCTCCAAAATGGTAACTTTACAGGAGAAGCAAAAAACGTACTTTACTTTTAATGTAAGTCAATGGGACCAGAATTTTTTCCAGGTGGTTTTGGGTCGTTTCTTTTGGTCCAATCATCATGAAATTTAAATACAATATAAAGGACAACAGCTATTTTCAAATAATGTAAAAAACTGAAAAATGACAAAAATGGAGATACAAGGTTTACTATATATATATATGTGTATATGTGTGTGTGTGTATATGTATATATGTATATATGTATATGAATAAATATATGTATGTAGTGTCTCTTGTGTTCTAATGCCGGATGGTAGGAGTGTTAAGAGTCTGTGAGAAAGGTGGGAGGGGCGTCCACAATTGTAGTGGCCTTGCAGATGCAGCACTTGTGGTAGGAGGTGTTGATGGTGGGTAGAGAAACCCCTGATAATCTTCTCAGCTGTCCTCACAATCCACTGTAGGGTTCTGCAGCCTGAGATGGTTCAGTTTCCATAAACAGACAGCAAGACAGCTGGTCAGGACGTTCGCTCTGCTTTAGATGCTCTGTTTATCAGCCCCCCTCTACCTCATCCATCAATAGAAAGAGACCACCATAGGACCACTATATCAGGCCCAGTGGTGTTGTATAGGTTTTTAATCATAGTGCTCACTTACTAATAGAAACTAATACTAATAGAACCAATAGATACATGGAGCTCCACCTTGCTGGAGTTAATAAACAGAAGTACTTTTTTTAATGTAACAAGCATAAAATCTTGTGAACACATTAAGGTCATGGACTTGATAAGAATGACATTACTTGAGTTTCTCATACGTCTTATGAGTTTTCTGGACATGTATTAAGCCGAGTGCAGTATTCTAAATGGGGATTTTCCTTTGAATGGAATATGTAGCTCAGGATTGGCTTAATCCCTGTCTGGGAAATCAATCCTAAGGCAGATTTTGAGAGGCTATTAGTTACACTGGAGGCATTTAAAACATAGTCGTATGCGAAAGTTCGGGTCAAATGACATGTTTTCCTGAATTTCTAAGTGAAAATAAGTACAAAGCCAATATCAAAAAAGGAATGAGCATATATTTACATATATTTGTATTGTTTTCAATTTTAAACAGGTCAAGCATAATTAATAATCACTGCTTTCTGTTTTTATTAGCATTTCACACACTGTCCCAACTTTTTTGGAATTGAGTTGGTACACATCCACTACGGAGAACACACTTTTGGGTTTTTTTAATGCACAACTGCTGTTTATTTGCTGAATTTAATATATTGGAAAAATTGTGGCATATTTTATATTGTATGTTTTATTTTTCCCCAATATGTTAAACTCAGCAAATATACAGAAGTGCGCTAAAACTGCAAACATGTATTATTATTCCCTGCAGAGGATGTTTTACTTATTTATGCTTAGAAAATCAATAAAACATGTCATTTAACAAGGTGCTTCAGCTTTTGCATACAACTGTATATTTTGTCTATATATGTGTTCTGTGCCCCTCCTTGTACATAATTCATGTGCCGGTGTGCTGCCTGCCATTGTAATATAAACTCATGGCTTAGAGAGCTCCAGCCTCTAATGAATAAGCCTTGATCAGGAACAGCTCTGTGAACTTTCCGTTTTACTCGTTAAGATTTATTTTTAAAGCAGCCGTTTTGGTACTACTGACTTTTATCATGTACTTTTCAATTGGCAGATATTGGTGTGGGCTTTAGAGAGTAAGTTGGAGGGAAAGTAATGAGCAGTGAAACTAATAAATAAAGTAATCTCAGTACAGCTTCATAGAAGTATAAAGGAATTGGTAACAGATTACCTTTTATGAATAACTATCCCACCATTGTTTATCAGAGGTCAGTTTCTGACCACAGAGTCACTGTTGGCTGGATGTTTTTGGCCTTAAACCCAGCAGTGACACTGGCTGTGTAACCCTGCGGTCACACCGGCAGCGATGTTTCGCGTCTTGTCGCCCAAATTGTGGTTGCTCATCGCCTGTGGGCGTTTCTAAACTCCAGCGGACCGTTGGTTGCCATGGTTTCACTGACGCCAAGCACAAATCAGATGCGTTCCTACTACAAATAAAAATCCGGGTGAGAAATCGCTTCTGTGATTATTCTTATTTAATCCCTGTGTTCGTACAGTCAGTTTGTGAGGAAAACAGTATTTGGTCTTTGTGATAACTGTTTGCGGCGAAAGCACCGGCGCCATTATTCAATCTCTAGTAAGAATAATTCTAGGAACCAAAAAAGGAGCATACTGTTTCTCAGTAGTGGAGATAAAGTGCGCACTAAGCTGCTCAATTCCTATTGGTAATCGCTGCATCGCTTTGCTCCTTATTTGCATAAAGTTAAACTTTGCTCCAGAGCTGGTTTATGTGGAGGCTGGCCTCTTCCTATTTCTCCCATTATATCAAACACAGGACTGCAAAACAGCAGAGGGCGCCTGCGAGTGAGTCCTCAATGAATGGGAATGAATGGAGCTCAATGGCTAAAAATGAAAAGTTAAAATAGTTTCTAATCACTGAACCAGAACTTTCCTTTAATTTTAGAAAGTAGAAGGATGGATTTCACTAAAAAAGCAAAGAAAACTCAGTTCAAACTCATATTTTCTTTTTTCTACAGTAAACGGGTTTTTGGCTGCAGAATGCTAACATTACTGCTACTGAGTGCTGATTGGTTGGTGAGCGGAGCAGCTCATTGGCTGTTCGCGCTCACTGACGTCATGAACATACATGAGGCGCCGTTTTAAATTCCTATAACGAGTTTAAAAGCTCTTAAAAATATAACAGCAGTGTTAATGTTTTATGCTGTTCTGTGTTCAGGAAATAAAAGTATTCTTTTACATTAAAACTGTTTAAGCATTTATAAACTGTGATTTTTACTTAAATGCTTAATCTTAATCCATTCATTCTGGACTCGCGCAGGAGCGCCCTCTAGTGTTTGAGCAACCTGGAAGACAGGTAGATTACAGAGTGGTAATTCTCCTCTCTACAAGCCAACGTTCGCGCCGCCTCCTGTCGCTGGAAATCTCCAGCTTTCATTGAAAACGAATGACCTCCGGCTAGCTTGTCGCACCACTTTGCTGCTGCTGTGAATGCAGAGTAAAAACCCAGCAGTGCTGCTGTGCACTTGTACCACTACATTCTAGTGCTGAGAGTGGTCCATCACCCAAATGATATCAGGGCTCTGGTGGTCCCATAATAATCGTTTCCAATGATGAACGAGGTGGGAGAGGTGATAAATTGTATAGAAACTGATGGGCTACTGCCATTGTATAAGTGCACCTTATATCTGGTAGGTGTTTCTAATAAAATGGCCAATAAGTGTAGACACAAGGTAGGTGGATGCAATAAACTAGCAGCTGGATATTTATACACATATACAAAAGCATTAAACCTCTGTTTCACCCCTCACCTTGCTTCCTGCAGCACTCTGAGTAAGTGAGCTACACGGGCCCTTTAAATCGGCCTTTAGATGCTGTTTTCTCTGGGAGAATGACTAAGCAGTAACTCAGGCAAAGGACCCTCATTCTCTCTGACCTTCACTTTTATGAGGTGGCACTGGGGTGATGCGCATGGATCCTCAGGGAGGGAGGGAGGGGGGGGCTGTGGGGGAAAACGTTTTTATTATATCAGTCCACTGAGCCCGCATGTAAAATGTATTGAACCAATTTTAAGCTCCCATCACCTTGCGTATGTCGCTGTGTCTGTGTCCTCAGCTTCTCCCTGGCATTTTGCCTTCGCTGTCAAATTCTACCCTCCTGATCCCTCTCAGCTCATGGAGGACATCACCAGGTAGGAGAGCTCCACTGCACGCGCCTTATCACTGCATTATCATTCATGGCTCTGTTTGAGCTTTGTTTGTGACATTGAGGTTTGGAGGTGGTGGAATATCTCAAATATACCATCTTGTTCTTGTAATAAACCCAATGATTACCAACCTGTAGCTCTCAGTGGTTTTGGTTTGAGTTCGTAAGGCAGTGATGATGTCATTAGACCTTGACGTTGATTCAGTTTGAATTTGTATTCTTTTTCAGTCTGATCAGAATTAATCTACATCTGTATCATATGATCAACCATACAGAAAAACTATTGACTTAAAACACGCTTATAATTAAAATCGTTGGGAAGGTGTTTCAGCACCTGCCTGCTGACTTCTAATGTAAGTGTGATTCAGGGAAACATGATGAAAGCATTGTTTGTGTTAATTAACCATATGCTGCGGACGCGGCTGATAAAGACTGGGCTTAGAAAAGGAATAGACCACGAAGATCATTTGCAAATCAAGCAAAGAAGCTGCCAGTGCTCTCAGAACAATAGACTGACCGCCCCAAAGCCCAGTCCTCAACACCACTGAATGTGTTTGGGATTATTTGAGCTTGTAAGAAGCAGAAAATGCAGCCAGTTTCTAAGACTGAACTTTGGAGGTGTGGAAAAATATCCCTGCACATTTCTTTAAAAACTGCATGCAAGTCTCCTGAAAAGAATGGAAGCTGTAATAAACGGAATTAACATATAAATATTAAATATACATTTTCCACTTTTCTCCTGACCCTGTAAAATGAATGACTATTATTTCAAGGCTGTTTTGACTGGAAGGTACATATATGAATGGTACGGTACTGTTTATGATATATACAGTTGGTTAGTTGGTTGGAATGTGGCACTGTGTTTACATGCACTCAATAATCCGATCGTAATCAGATTTCTGCAGTTATCTGATTATTCAAATGGTCATGTAAACATCATACTCCGATCTAGAAACCTGATTAAGAAATCCTATAAAGAGGCTGGATTTTAGCTCAGTAATCAGATTTCTGAATGAATGTATACTTATACTCCGATTTCTATCGGATTTCTCAGTCTGCGCGTGCGCGAGATCAGACGGTGGATGTCGCGAGACGCAGCAACACACTGTTGGAGCGGCGCTGAAACCAAACACGAAATAAAGTACTTAAATATTGTTCATCTTCTAAATGATGTACGTTCATATTTTCAGGTGAAGTGGTGCGATGTTTAAAAAACAAAAAAAAGCCGCGGTATGAAGTTTGAGTTTTACGTTTACGTCGCGTCTTCTGTGAGTTTATTGGCTGGTTGTAAAGCAGAAATCTGATTACTGTCTGATTCATGTAGACCTGGAGTTTCCCCATTACCTGATTACTCAAGTGTATGTAAACATGTTGATCGGATTACTGACAAAATCTGATTTTCTGCAGTTATTGGATTATTGCTGCCCTCAGTGGATGATGGTGCTAAAAATTGGAAACTACCTTCGTCTTTATGAAATTTCTGTAATTTTCTTGCGTCGGTTCATGTAAACGCTGTGCTCACATGATTTTTATTAAATTACTATTAGAATTATATTAAAATGCTTGAATTATTGACTGTAATAAATCCATTCTGAAAAATGTATTTTGTCCACTCACATAACCAAAATGCCCTGCTTTTAAAATGGAAAATGACAAATGTGATTAATCATAATTAACTACACAAAACAATGCAACACACACATTTTCTAAGCCGCTTATCCTTCTGGGTCGCGGGAGTGCTGGAGCCTATCCCAGCGGTCATTGGATGGAAGGCAGGATACACCCCGGACAGGTCACCAGTCCATCGCAGGGCGAACACCCAGACATATACATTAAAAGAATGCAATAGTTGTGATGAATTATTTTTATAATTTGACAGCCCTACTTAAACACTGATAATTGAATAAATTAAATGTGTCTGCTGAATTTAAATGTATTCTATATTAATTGAATTGATTTCTGTCCAGTTTGTTGTAGCTTATTGTATATGTATGTTTGACATATCGCTGCTGTTGGAATAAAAACTTATGTCTCCAAAATAGTGAATTTAAAGGAGAAGGAAAAAATATACTTTACTTTTAATGTAAGTCAATGGAACCAGACTTTTTTCCAAGTCATTTTGGGTTGTTTCTGTTGGTCCATTCATTATGAAATTTACATACAATATAAAGAGCAACAGGCATTTTCAGATTATGCCAAAAACTGAAAGAAATGGAGATTTGAGGTTTTGTTCTGAGAGCAGCGATATCTAACCTTTCATAAGGCCTTCCCCCATTACTAGTGCCTGTCTGAACATCCTCCTCTTGCTCTCTCTTTCTGAACCATCTCTCGCCATCATTTCTCCATCTCTCTCACAGGTACTACCTGTGTCTTCAGCTGCGTGATGACATTCTGTCCGGCCGGCTCCCCTGCTCATTCGTCACCCACGCCCTGCTGGGCTCCTACACCGTGCAGGCTGAGCTTGGAGACTACGATCAGGATGAGCACGGCTCCGACTATGTCAGTGACCTCCGATTTGCCCCCAATCAGACCCGTGAGCTGGAGGAGAGAGTCATGGAGCTCCATCGCACCTACAGGTGGAGGAAATACAATGCACATCATATTCCCACCAGACTAGCTGTTGTTGTGTTTAACACGTTTCTGTAAGACCCTCCATTCAGCCCACAGCAGTTTAGCCCCGTCCATTCACACTGAAGTGATGTGGAGTGTTCTTACTGCAGATATTCGTTAGTTATTGGAGAGGAAGATGTGGAGAAAATGACTGAAAGGGCTTACCAAAGTGTGGCCTGCCAGAAAGTGTCCCTACTCCCTCAAGCAATGAGAAAGCTAACAGATTTTTTACCGTATTTATTATTACTATAATTCAATTCCTATTTTCCTTTTAAATATAATTTTTATAGTATTTTAGCAGAAAAATATACAATGTTACATAATTTGTTTAATAAACTTGATTTGAGATCTACCTATTTTTTTATTTAATTGATTTCGATTTGAAAGCTACCTACCTCCTTTATTTGTATATAATAATGTTTTGTCTTTATAATGTTTTATCTTTTTGGTCCTTGGCCCACCAAAAACATTGCATTTTGGCCCAAAAATGCTCCGACGCCCCTGGAGCAAATTCTGTTCCTGCCTGTCGGAAATCAAGTGGATCACTGCATTTTTCTACAGGATCCACACATCGAAATCTAGCATCTGAAGCTTATTTTTTCCAGTGTCATGTCGAAACTTTACAGTTTGTTTCAGACTGCTTTAAGGGCTACGTTCACATTGGCAGGTTAAAATGGCACAAGTCCGATTTTTTGCCCTAATGTGACTCAGATCTGATGTTTTCAGGGCTGTGTGGACACAAATCTGATCTTTTCAAATCCGACCTGAGTCACTTTCATATGCCGAACAGAAGTTAAAGCCTGTAAACAGTGGAAAAGCAGCTCATCTCACCTCTTTCTCCTTCGTCTCGCTCTAATAATAAAGCTGAGAGCTGATCAGAGTTAATTATCTTCTCAGCGAAGCTCGTTCTGCTCGTTAGTTTGTGCTGATGATGAACGTGATTCATTCACGTGGCGTTACTGAGTAGGATGAGCTCATGAGGGTCATTTCAGGACGCCGGTTCGTCACATTAATGACAGATTTGAATCACTTACCTAAACGAGTGTGAACCATTGTGTCAGAGAGATCAGATTTGAACACTGAGGCTTGTAATGTGAACGTAGCCAAAAAGAACAAGGCACAATACAGGGCAGTCAATCAGAAGAGGAGTCGTTTATATATCAGTCTTTAAGGCAGAGTAACAAAAACAACCTGATAAAGGATAAAGAGAGGTTACAAAATAGTCATGTAAAGCTGCGTATGTTGACAAACACCACATGTTGTTGAGCATCTGTCCCTCTAGTCTGTGCTGAGCCAATGCCAACTGACTCTTTGACTCCTACTGAGTCGCAGAGTCAATAAGCCACGCAGCTGGGGTCTTAGTGATTGGCGTGTGGTGTTGAAGCTCCTCAGGCACAGAGCGAGTTCTCTGTTCCTAACCAGAAATGAAACACACTGAAACACACCCCCCCCGGCTGTCGTATTTATTCTGTTATCAGCAATGCCGATTGGACGATTTCCCGCTGTTTTAATCCATGACTCATTTTATCTCGTGTTTCAGGGGAATGACTCCTGCTGAGGCAGAAATGAACTTCCTGGAGAATGCCAAGAAGCTGTCCATGTATGGGGTCGACCTGCATCATGCAAAGGTACGGCACAACAGCTATATTGTAATAATGCTATCTGGTTCTGCTCTCCAAGCAATATCTTCTTTCATTCTACATAGCTGGCTGCATACTAGGCTACATACTGCTTTGAGCAACATTATAAAATGGCGGCCCAAATCCAATTTACAGCCCCGAAATCTGATTTTGTTTTTGTTTGGTCATTCACATTTTCTTTCTAATGTGGTCTATGTCTAACATCGCTCAGATACCACTCTTGAACTGACCTGAGTGTGCGAAAAGAACAGCGCTCAGCTCATCCAAGCACAGCTATCCTCTTTATTTGTTAAGATTATTAGACTCCATTCACGTGTCATTAAACGTGAAACTGCTGCTTTAAACTTGGAGGACAAAAAGCAGACCATGAAATGACAACGCTACAAATAGTACCTGCTCTGTGAGGGTCCATGGGGGTCCTGACCACTGAAGAACATGGTAAAAGGGGGCTAACAAAGTATGCAGAGAAACAGATGGACTACAGTCTGTAACTGTAGAACTACAAAGTGCACCTATATAGTAAGTGGAGCTGATAAAATGGACAATGAGCATAGAAACAAGGAGGCGGTCAGAATGTTACGCCTGATCATGTATAAAAATCATGTATAGTAAAGTATATATAGCTGTTGTTGGAACAAAACCTTTTTCAGTGTTTGACATCATTTGAAAATGCCTGTTGCCCTTTATGTCTTGTGTAAATTTCATGGTGAATGGACCAAAAGAAACGGCCCAAAGTGACTTGGAAAAAAGTCTGGTTCCATTGACTTACATTAAAAATAAAGTATGTTTTTTCCTTCTCCTGTAAAGTCACCATTTTGGAGATACAAGGTTTTGTTCCGACAACAGCGATATGCTCTGTTTAGGTGTGGCTATTTCACCAAACACGAGATGCGATATCAGCTGTATCCCAACATTTCACACGCTCAGTTAAAACAGTGTTATGATTTATTCAGTATTTAATTCCAGACTACACCTGCCTTATCTGAATACACAATTAAATAAATGAATATGGAGATTGAGTACTTGTATATTCATAAAACAGTTCCTAATTATAAGATAATGATAGACATAGCAAGACAGATATAGATAGATAGTGAACTGACAATTATATCTTTGAGAAGTTTATATCTGCGTCTAATAAGACCAAACTGTGTGAACGTACACCTATCATAGTGCACCACTGGCCTTAAATATGGCTGGAAGCTGTATTCATGACATGTTGATGCATTATGCATTTGTCCTCTCTCCCCTCTTTAATGCCTGAGGTAGGATTCAGAAGGGATAGACATCATGCTGGGGGTTTGTGCCAACGGCCTGCTGATCTACCGTGACCGCTTGAGGATCAACCGCTTTGCCTGGCCCAAGATCCTCAAGATCTCATACAAGAGGAGCAACTTCTATATAAAGATCCGCCCCGGAGAGGTACCCCAACTTCCCTTTGATATGTTCGCTGTGCTCAGCGGAATTATCTTCACCCTCCAAGCAAACGAACCAGGGGCACTTTCAGTGGAGAAATGTTCTATGAGCAGTCAGATACACCGAGTTGCCAGTTAAGTAGGTTCACTTACAGTGTAGCTAAACTCATTGGCCACAATTTAGGAGCCCCCTCTGCCCCATCCATTAATGAAAGGGACCACCATAGGACCACCTCTGACCATTCTCAATGCAGTGATCCTGGGTTAGTAATGGCATGGCAATGTATGTATTGGGCTGGTTCAAGTGTACAGTACCGCATGAGTAAGACTGACCGCACAAGCAATGAAATTTTTATTTTTCTTGTCTAACAGCTGCAGTGCACTGAGTTCCCAGCTCGTTAGGTACACCTACCTTATACAGTAGTGTACAAAATATAATTTCCAGTCAAAATGGCCATTAAGTACAGGTTATGGAGGGGAATAAACTGAATTACACAGGAGCCTCAACAACTAAATGTAATATTTTCAGTATTTATTGCATCCCTACTTTGCCTTTATTACATATTTTCAAAGAAACATGCAGGGATGTTTTTCCACACCTCCAAAGTTTAATCTTAGAAGTTGGTTGCATTTTCAGATTCTCGCCCATTTAAACACATTTAATGATACTGAGGACTGGACCATAGTTGAGTCGTCTTCTCACAGTGAAAGGATGGACAGAAACACCTGTGGATGTTTTCAGATCCGAAACCAAAGTGGGAAGTGTTCCATATCTCATGAAGATAAAAGTTTGAAGTGCTGTTTGGGGCTGATGGGGATATTTTTGGTGCTCCACCAGGTCTTGTGTGGTTGTTCAGAGTCCAACTGAACTTCAGTTTTGGAAATTTCAGTTTTTTCACTTATTTTCCTTTGACTCTTCCTCTTCCTTACACAGATTGACTATTTTGTATCTAATCCTCCTCAGATTTTGTACAGCGCTGTGTTGTTAGGTTTACCTAATACGCTGGGAGCTCAGTGTACTGCAGCTGTTAGACAAAAAAAGGAAATATTTCATTGCTTGTGCTGTCAGTCTTACTCAACCAGGCTTTGTGGGAAAGAGATGATAATTTATACAGGCAATTATGCATTAATGTGGCTGATGTGCATGTCAATAAGGCTGGCGGGAATACGCGAGTGAACTTCTTGGATTTGCGAAGCCCCATAGGTCGTTTTAGACTTTTTCTCCCAGTGTGCCCTGCTGCTGTAGTCTGGCCTGGACGACGCTTCTGAGTGACAGGCCTGGTGACGGCTCTCTGGCAGAACAGAGCCGCACAGAGGGCCTGTGAGATACACACATAAAGAGCTCCTTCAGCCGCCCCACCGCAGCTGCAGCGCTGCCCAGAAAGGGGATGAGACAGACAAATTTAGAGCTCTGCCCAAAATGCCATGCTCCTGTTTATCTTCTCCGCCCGAAAAAGGCTCGCGTTTGTCTCGTAGCTCAGCTCCGTTCAGGAATCTCTCCCGCAGATCATAGGACTGGAGTTTAAGACCCAGATTAATTTTAATTAGGCCCCGGAGCAAGCCTAAGGCTGTGTGCAGTGTTTGTTAAATTAGCAAAGGTATTTGAGGCTCAAGAGCAATTTAAACAGGATAAAATGACCCTCTGAAGGACAGAGGTCCATCCTCACTTAACTGACTTTTTTTGCGTGGATTTTTCCGTGTCAGAAATGTGATCTAGGGCTGCACAGTGTATCGTTTGTTAATCAGTATCGCAATATTGTTATTTTAGACTCAGATCCGCATTAAAATCACAATGTTCCGGGTGAATCAGACTTGAAAGACCATCAAATAATTAGTTGGATCACAGAAAGAATAGTATCTTTTATTTATGCCAAATATTTATGTCACATGTATCTGTAAATATTTCTGGACAAACGTAATGGGATAGAGTTATGGAACAGAGGGGAACTGTGAAAAAATTGCATAGGCTAACATTTGTAGGGCATCACATAACCCCAATCATCAGTTCGTCTATCTGGAAATATGCCACAGGGCTTTTCTGACACCCAGGGTCAGACACTTGATTGGTTTAAGCCCTCACCCCTTCTGTACTTTCTGTCCACATGGGACTCTGAGGACTTTTATGCACATACTGTGGGACTGCCCAAAAGTTCATGCTTTTTGGGAAGAGGTTGTTGATTCCATCTCTACTCTGAGCAAGACGTGCTTCCCCATGGACCCTGAACTTCATTTACTGAACTCTAAATTCCCCATTACAAAAAGTTCTCAGAAAATATGGCTGGCTGGCTTAACAGCAGCAAAAAAGTCATTGTCCAGTATTGGCTACCCCCTCACAACCTGTCCATACGGCACTGGCTCCATTCGTTACTGGTTATCCTATACCTAGTATTGTCATCTGCAAGACTTAGCAATGCTGCCCCTAGAACTCTTGATACATGGGTTCACAGAATGTCTAAAATCAGGACCGTTGTGCTCAGTTAACTATATGCTGTGTTTAAGTTGTGAATGATACAGCTCAATTTTCATGTGTCCTACATTGTAGCTATGATTTTTTTTTTTTATCCTTAGTCTCAAGTTTGTGTGGGTTGGGGCTGGGGAGGGGGGGGGTCATGCTGTTGGAAGTAAACCTTGTATCTCCATTTTTGTCGTTTTTCAGTTTTTTACATTATTTGAAAATAGCTGTTGTCCTTTATATTGTATTTAAATTTCATGATGAATGGACCAAAAGAAACATCCCAAAATGACTTGGAAAAAAGTCTGGTTCCATTGACTTACATCAAAAGTAAGTAGGTTTTTTCCTTCTCCTGTAAAGTTACCATTTTGGAGATACGAGGTTTTGTTCTGACAACAGCGATGCATCTCGCAATATTGGCTTTTAAAATACTGACATTGCAGGAAGCTACACTATGCAGATGAGCCTCTAACATGTCAGTGTGTTACTGTGTGTTGACCAACCTCAGATGCTCCGGATGAGTTTCTGTGAGCGCTCTGAAGAAGACATTACCCAACAAATGTAATTATTGGGCAAAATGTTGCAGGAATACCTTTTAACATGTCACATCAAGGATTTGCCAATGTGTCTGAAACACAGTCAGCTCCACTATTGCCACCTTTGGTAGAGATGGATAAAAAGGGCATTAAACAATCTTTGTGGTTAATCAGGTAAATCTCACGCTGCAAATTTGAGAGAATTTTTAAACAAAACCATGTGCACTTCTATTTAGTGTTTTTTAGCATTCAGATGGGAAACAGACTTTTTTCCAGCTGTCTGCACTGGACATCATGATGAAAATGACCCTTTCAGAGAAAGATATACCTTTTTTTTCACAATCACCTCCTCCTACATGCCACGCCAAAACAGTGGGCTGTGGTCGTTTTGTATGTTGGTCAAACCGCCTCTTTTTGGCAAGGTAGACGTTTCTTGATCACCTTATGCCAAGACTATTGGCACCTTTAGACATTCCTATGAAACAAAATGAAACTCCTTTGAACAAAGTGTAAATATTTTTCCATTTATATTTCATATTTATTTTATGCTGTTTGCTATCCGGTGTGGACCAGAGGAGGATGGGTTCCCCTTCTGAGTCTTGGTTCCTCTCAGGGTTTCTTCGTTTTGCTCTTAGAGCGCTTTTCCTTGCCACTGGCGACGCTCATGGGGTCTCGGCCCCGGATTTTTCTGTAAAGCTGCTTTGTGACAACACCTGCTGTAAAAAGTGCTATATAAATAAACTTTGACTTGACTTGACTTGACACGTTCTTTAAGCCTAGCTGAGTGTTCTTTTTAGTCAGCTATCCCTGACTTGCTGTTTCACTGGACTATAAATGTGTGGGAAAGGATAAATAAAAATATTAGACAGCATGCAAAATAAAATGAGACAAAGGTAATTTTATATATATATATATATATATATATATATATATATATATATATATATATATATATATATATATATATATATATATATATATATGTATGTGTGTGTGTGTGTGTATCTATTATATTAAACAGTTTAAAACAACCAGAGCTGTAGTGATCCCGCCTGGAAGACACAAATGTATTTTACCCCAATGTCCAGCAAGGGAGATGGTTAGAGAGGCAGACATTTTTCTAAGTTGTAACTTTTCTTGGTTGGAGATTTGCAGAAGAAAACAACAAAGCAGTTAGATTTCCCTCACAAAGACATCTTGTCACCTTTTCCCCAACTTTACCAAGGGTTTCAGTAATTATTGCACTGACTGTACGTTACAAGACATGTTGCGATCACAGTGTGTAGCAACATAATCCAGGACTCCATCAAAAACACTTGATTATTCAATTTTAAAAATGAATGAAAAGGCATATTCGTGATGAATATGCAATTGGCATGTTGGCAATTTGCATAATGAATATTTTCAATTCTCCTAATGGTCTCTCTCACAGTATTAAACAGCCTGATTGAATTACCTATTTAAATGCATTTTTTTGGCCATATAGTATTTTTATATTATATTATTTGTTGATGAATGTTTTTTAAAGGACTCTTGATATTTAGGTTCTGGTTGGTTTGCTATTGTTTAAAAAAAAAACTTATTGCTCTAGAAATCAATAGTAGGTTACTCAGTTGCTAATATAATCAATATTGACAGCCCTAATGTAATCACAATATGATATTTCATCCATATCATGCTGTTCCAATGTGATCTGTATTTTTTTTCTTTTCTTTAACAGTATGAGCAGTTTGAGAGCACCATTGGCTTCAAGCTGCCCAACCACAGAGCAGCGAAGAGGCTGTGGAAGGTCTGCATTGAACATCATACTTTCTTCAGGTAAACTCCCAAGCAAGCTTTTCAGACCGGGCTTGTTCCTCGTGGCCGTTTTTTCCGAGCTTCTTTCGGTGCAGCCTCGTTTCTTCATCGTCAGACACTCGCCCAGCCTTCTTTAAGACTCTGCTAAAGCTCAGGTGTGGTTAAGTCAGACTGCATGATCAAAGGCCTCTCCTGCTGAACTCTCCCTCGCTCGAAGCATGGGCCGTTTCTCACATAACTCGTTTTTTTCTTTCTCTCTCTGCGCACAGACTTGCATCTACATGCTTGTCTGCCTGGCCTGGAGCTCTTATTGAGTTTGCAGCATGAAGTAGAGAACAGCGCTGTCTTTATTAGCACTTTGCTCTGGAGAAGGAATGCTCCCGTTCCACTCCAGTGTTTTCAGCAGTAAAGGAAACCTGTCGGCTTTGCATTTGTTTTCTGTCTTAACCCTTTAAGGCCAAAGTGGCAGTTTCTACTGTTTATCTATACCCTTAAAAAAGATGGTTCTTCAAGGGTTGTTTAGTAAAGAAACAGGTTCTATATAGAACCATGAACACTTAAAGAACCCTTTGCATGCCAAATGGTTCTTTGCATGGTGAAATGGTTCTTCTACTTGATGAAGAATGTGTTGTATATGGTTCTGTATAGCATCAAAAAGGGTTCTGCTATTTTTACAATGCTGCATAGAACCATTTTCAAAAAGCTTTTATTAACTATTAATCAATCTGAAGAAACCTTTTTAGCATTCAAAGAACCATTAATGCATGCAAAGGGTTCTTTGAGTGTTTGTGGTTCTACACCGACCAGGCATAACATTATGACCACCTCCTTGTTTCTACGCTCATTGTCCATTTTATCAGCTCCACTTACTATATAGGTGCACTTTGTAGTTCTACAGTTACAGACTGTAGTCCATCTGTTTCTCTGATACTTTGTTAGCCCCCTTTTACCCTGTTCTTCAGTGGTTAGGACCCCCATGGACCCTCCCAGAGCAAGTACTATTTGGGTGGTGGATCATTCTCAGCACTGCAGTAACACTGACGATGTGGTGGTGGTGGTGTGTTAGTGTGTGTTGTGCTGGTCTGAGTGGATCAGACAGCAGTGCTGCTGGAGTTTTTAAACACTGTGTCCACTCACTGTCCACTCTATTAGACACCCCTAGCTTGTGAGTCCACCTTGTAGATGTAAAGTCAGAGACGATAGCTCATCTGCTGCTGCACAGTTTGTGTTGGTCATCCTCTAGTCCTTCATCAGTGGTCACAGGACGCTGCCCACAGGACGCTGTTGGCTGGATATTTTTGGTTGGTGGACTATTCTCAGTCCAGCAGTGACACTGAGGTGTAAATGTCCAGTCTTTTACAGTAAGATCCTGTAAAATAATAAAGCATTATTTTATGGTAAAATAAGTACATTTACAGCAGTTTTTACATTGTGAAGGATTGGAATCTGCTCATTCAACAGATTTCTCTGAAACTGGCTTGTTTTAAAGAGCAACAAGAGTGAAATAATTCATTTAAAATAGCTGTGCTTTTGTTATTGCTGGCGATAAATGTGGCTTCTAAAAGACAGAAGAGTTTAAAGTGTTTTACACCTCATGTTGACCCTTATGTACTCCCCTTTCCCCCTGACTGCTCCCAGGTTAGTGTCTCCTGAGCCTCCACCTAAAGGCTTCCTGGTGATGGGCTCCAAGTTCAGGTACAGTGGACGGACACAAGCGCAAACCCGGCAGGCCAGCGCTCTGATCGACCGGCCCGCTCCGCACTTCGAACGCTCCACCAGCAAACGCCACCTCCTCTCCCGCAGCCTGGATGGAGGTTGGTACACTTCCCATTTTTTAATCGTTCTTTTCTGTATTCAAGCAATTCATTCCTTTAGAATTGATTGTTTTGGGGCTGAAGTGATTTTCCGAGTCCCAATTTTCGTCCTTGTTTCAACCCTCAACAAAGCCGTTGTTTCACCAGCAGGCAATTAAAGCTGTTGAATTAAAAATGAATTAATCAAATAGAGGCGCATCCCTGAGGTTCTGCAGAAAGGAAAGCTCATTAAAGTTTTAAGGTCGCTAAACACAAATTGTTCACACCTTGTTGTCAATAGTAGCTGACAGGTTGGCACATTAGAAGGAGGCGTTATTTCTTGCCCATGTTTTTTACATTAAGTGGACATTCGGCTCACTGCCATTGAAGGACTGACTTAGGTGAAGTTCAGGGCCCTGTTGTATGCAAAAGTTTGAATGCCCCTGGTCAGTGAAAATAAGCTAACACATCCCCTTAATGCACAATTACAAGTTTATTGGTTGAATTTAATATATTGGGAAAATATATAACACAAAATGTGGCCTGTTATGGCACATTTTTAATACTATGATACATTAAAATACTGTGAAAGTACTGGCACTAATTGCATCTGTAATATTGTCTTTTATTCCTCCCTCCAGTATAAGAATAACTTGCAAAGTTATGAAAGTGCAAAAGTCAGAAACCAACCTCTCATTTATTTGATTTCCAGTAAAAAAGGCAATTAAGTACAATTCATTCATTTTTCAGGAGGTATTTCTAAAAAGGTTAGACAGAAGATAATCTACTTGCATTGTCTTCTTACAGAGGAAAGTCAAAGGAAAGAAAGTTCACAAAACTGGATTTTATAATGTTAAAAATGATTAAAAGATACAGAATAAATGTGCCTCTTAATAACCATGCAGGACCTGGTTGACCACCAAAACTGACACCATCAGATAAACAGCACTTAAAGCACTTTAAGAGATCATCTTTTGGAGAAAATCAAGCTCCACTTCTGCCTCAGATCTGAAAAATACACATATTTAATATCCATCCTGACTTTGTGAGAAGACAACTCCATGCTATGGATCTGAAATATTGTGTTGCTGCCAAGAAGCTGTTACAGTGAAAAGGAAATAGAATCAAACAAAGAAGCTGCTGCTGATCTCAGAACAATGGACTGACCACAACCAGACCTGAACATCGTTGAATGTGTTTAGGATTGATTGAATCATGAAAAGCAAAAAGTGCAAACAACTACTAAGACTGAATGTTGGGGGTGTGGAAAAATATCCCTGCAGTTTTCTTCAGAAAAATTAAAGTGAGTCTCCTAAAAAAGAATGGAAGCTGTAATAAAGGCAAAGAAGAGACACACTGAACAGTACAAAATTGATCTTCTAATTAGATGTTGAGGCTTCTGTGGAATTTTCTGTTAATAAATGTTTTCTGCTTTTTTCCCTGATGCTCAAAAATGAATAACTTGTGCTGTTTTGTGGCTGTTTTGACAGGAAATGACATAAATAAAGGGTGATCTCTGACTTTTGGATGTTGTAGCTGTATAGAAAATGCATTCTAAAAATGTTTATGTATAGACAGTATATCTGAGCCTGAATCAGCTAAAATGTTGCTTCAGCTAAATTTCACACAGAGCTCTGATCGATCTGTCTGTTCTGGGACCTGCAGAGTTTTCCCGGCCGCTCTCCACCATGGGCGAGCCTCAGGACGCCCTGTCCCAGAAGAGTGAGACTCAGTGTCTCTCAGGAGACGAGCAGGAGGCAGAACCTGACCTCAGTCTGGACCAGGATCAAGAAGAATCCAGTGTGACCACGCCCACCAGGAAGAGAGATGTTAAGGTAAAACGTCTTCTTGGTTTGAATTTAGTCTTTTTCACTATTTGTTTTATATAAAATGCATGTAATGATTCAAATGTTCCTCGAAAAATGTTTGGAGAAATTGCTTATCATATATCTAAAAGAAATCATTCCAACAAGAGTGCTGTTTTAACAATAATGCGTTTTTTCAAAAGTATATGGGGCAAAATTACTGGCACCTAATTTAAATAAAACCAAAGAAATTTATATCTTTGTGGAAGAAATCTTTTTTGTATTGCTCTTAGTCTCCACGAGCTTCATTGTTGTGTAAGTCTTTGCTGTTTCTCTGGAGTAAAAATATGAAATTACGCATACGTAACATCCCTTTGTCATCCATCGCCATGGGTAAAACCAAAGACCTGTCAATTCAGAAGGTGGATCATCTTAAATTAGGAAAGTTTATTAAAAAAAAATAGAGTAAGTTGAAATGACCATTAAGCACAATCAGGGTGATTATAGAAAAGTTTGGAACAGTTAAAAATTTGGCAGGAAGAGGACGCTTGAGCATACTACCCCCATGAACAGTGAGGAGGATAGTAAAAGAGGCAAAGAGGAACCCAAAGGTCACAGTGCAATGAAAAGCCACTGTCGAATATCATAGATCTGTAAGGGCTGGCTCCAGGCCTGTGGCACTCCCGGCCACCAGAGGGAGACGACGCACACCTCCCAGGTGCAATCAAGCCCAACGTCCTACACCTGGGCAGAGGGCTTTATGAGCGCAGAGAAGAAGACACACATGGCTGTGTCTTTGCCTCATCATGAGTCAACAGAACCGGCCGGTAATTTTGGTAAGAGGGCTGAGAGTTTCGCACTCCCCCTCACTTTTCGAGTTTTCTCCAGCCTCCTCTCGAGATCTCCTTCTCTGCTCTCCAAAATAAAAAAAAATAAATAAATAAATAAAAAAATATAAAATAAAAACTTTTATCTGTTCTGTTTTGGTTCTGTTTCTGTTGGGAAAGTCATTTGTCTTTTTTTAAACTTTTTTTTCAATTCCCCTGGCGTCCTTTGTTCTTTTTCCTGCCTGACAAAAACGGGTGGGTTTACAAATTCGGACAGCTTTTCCCACCCAGGCAATCCCATATAAGAGCACTCCTTTCAGTGCTGTGGTGGCGTACCGGTAGAGCACTCGTGCAGCACCAATAGGGCCCAGGTTCAATCCCTGGATTCATCAGGTGCTGAAGTTCTTTAGTTCAGCTCATCCATCTGCTGTACACAAGCTTGGCACTTGGGTCCTGTGTCCCCAAAACCTGTGGTGGCTCACCTGGTAGGCCCTGGAATATAGCCTGACAGACAGCCTGGGTTCACATCCTCAGTCTGCTGAGCCATCCACCGTTACAAGATCGTTGACTGGGTCTGTTTTACTGCTAGTGGTCCAGGGGCTCTTGTGAATCATTAGCATTAATGATTTCCACTAAATACCAGCAGATTTTAACACAAAATCAGTCTGCCAGAAAGTTGAAACCTGACCATAGGTGAACCTTTCTGCAAGATAATGACCCCAAACACACATCAAAATCCACCAGAAATAGTTGCGGGAGTACAAAGTTTTGCAGTGGCCTTCTCAGTCTTTAGATTTGAACCCAAGTGAAAACCTGTGGTGCGTAATAAGTGGGCAGTCCACAAGCGAATAACCATGAATATCAAGGAACTGGAAATGTTCCACATATAGGAGTGGTCCAAGATCTTTCTCCAGACTTGTTAAGCATTACAGAAAGCACTATAGAGCTGTGTTTCTCACCATGGGATGGTTTAACGAATTATTAATAATGGAGGCCAGTATTTTAAAACCTGTTTTCAAACAGGTTACTAAAGAAGGGTGATAATTCTGGAGTTGACTGTAGATGTAGAAATGTGTCTTTTGCTTCATTGTAGTGCCAAACACACATTATAAAACAAGAAAACCAGAACAAACAAGTTAATATGGAGTTAAGGACAAATTTAACATATTTAATGTACCTTCAGTTCCGTTCAGGTGACTTTCGAGAGAAAGGGTAGGGAGCTGGTGTGACTAGTCAACAGAATAATAGGTAATGTCAGGTGTTTGGCTTAGGTGGGGTGGGGCTCCTGGTGTGGCACTTTTCCCAAACGTTAGTTATTGCGCAACTACTGTAATATGTTTTGTTTTTCTTTCCTGTCATTGCTTTGCGAATGGCTCAGACTGAGGAGCTGCCTAAAGATGGCACCGTGCTGGAGGTAGTATCTCTCTCCTGCCTCCTATTGTCCTGTCCTGAGCTCTTATGAGAAAATAAACTGTAAAAATAAGCACTTTTAGTTTTATTTTCCTACTTGGCTCTTGTTGTTATGGCCTTTTCTGTTCCCTTTTAGTTCTGTTTTATCTGTTTGTTCTCAGCAGCCACCGTCTGTTTTTAGGTGGATGACAGAGAATGTACTGGAGTTCATCCCAGATGTTCAAAACACTCCAGAAGCGCTAGAATGAAATATGCATAAAACATTGTTAATAAAATCCTCCTTATGCAGCATCAGAAACACCATGTTCAAACTACTCTTAGTCAGGGCTGACTACTACAGTTCTGTTTCTAAAGCACTGACTCAGTCATATCTTTAACCCTTGTGTGGTGTTCAGGTCTGTGGGACCCGTTTTCAATGTTTACCAAAAGAAAAAATTGTGAGATTTATTATTATTTCAACCTCAGATTCTTGGTCTTTGATTTTCTGTGAATATCATATAAAATAACCCATTTTCAGTGTCTTCACTCTGTTCACCCCCCACACATTTATATTACACATGTGGTGTTGGGTGAACCTGCGGGGAGTAAAAGTGTGGAGGTGCTGTGTCCTTCACTCTGTTCTCCTCCTACATGGCCTGCTGTTAGTGTGTGTGTGTGTGTGTGTGTGTGTATGTATGTGTGTGTGTGTGTGTGAGGGTGGACAACATGGACAGGCTGCTGACTGGCTACAGCTGCTAAAGGAGAACCCTACACTGGACACTTGTGAAATTTTAAACATCTGGAATTTTTACATAAACTGTTATGGCTGTATTGATTTTAACCAATAATGCGGTGGGTCCAGCAGACCACTGAGTAACAAACACATCAACACCACACAAGTGTTAAATCAGAATATGATTTTTGTTATTTAAATCAAATTGTAAATCATAAAAGATATATATATATATATATATATATATATATATATATGTGTGTGTGTGTGTGTGTGTGTGTGTGTGTGTGTGTGTATGTATATGTATATGTGTGTATATGTAATGTTTGACTGTAATCAATTCTTGTGTTGCATAACTTCCTGGAAAGTGTTCAAATCTGTGCCACAGTGCAAACAGTTTACTCCAGCAGTTCTTTTGTCATTGTTGAAAACATGCATGAAACATGCACTCTGTTATTATTATTTCATATAGTATACGCTGGAAATTTCCACCTTTGCCAAAATATTTTCTCCCTGGGACTTTCTGACTTTTTTTTCACAGTGTTGAAAAGTAGCACACGTTGAGCCAAGAAGTTACTGGGTGTGTTAATCTTCTCTACTTAAACAATGTCAACAGATACGCTTGATTCTCTGGTCCATGTGCTCTCCCACGTTCCTGTTGCAGAGAAGATCATTTATGTTATAAAGTGTTATTAATGTTGTCAAATTCAGAAGATGTCTAATTGTTGAGTTTTGTGTTCTGTTGGAATGGTATATAACAATTTACCGTACAATGACCGGCCACTTTATACACTCTTTCACCGTTTTATCAGCTCCACTGACCATATAAGAGCACTTTGTAGTTCTGTAGTTACAGACTGTAGTCCATGTGTTTTGGTACATAATTTGTTAGCCCCTTTCACCCTGTTTTTCAATGGTCAGGACCCCCACAGGACCACCACAGAGCAGGCATTATTTGGGTTGTGGATCATTCCAGCACTGCCGTAACCCTGATGTGGTGGTGGCGTGTTAGTCACTGTCCACTCTATTAGACACTTAGATGTAAAGTCAGAGACGATAGCTCATCTGTTGCTGCTCAGTTTGTGTTGGTCATCCTCTAGTCCTTCATCAGTGGTCACAGGACGCTGCCCACAGGACGCTGTTGGCTGGATATTTTTGGTTGGTGGACTATTCTCAGTCCAGCAGTGACACTGAGGTGTTTAAAAACTCCAGCAGCACTGCTGTGTCTGATCCACTCAGACCAGCGCAACACACACTAACAGATCACCACCTCATCAGTGTTACTGCAGTGCTGAGAATGACCCACCACCCAAATAGTACCTGCTCTGTGGGGGTCCTGACCACTGAAGAACAGGGTAAAAGGGGGCTAACAAAGTATGCAGAGAAACAGATGGACTACAGTCTGACTAAAGTAGACTCAATGAAATGTACAATGAATGAGGATACAAGGTAGCCATACTTGATAAGGTGTAGGGCAGTGTTCATAAGGCTACATGACACCTACATAATCTCTTCATTACAGTTGACATAAATGTACATAAATGAAAGGCTTATTCCAACAGGCATTATCTGTCATAAAGGCTGCTTTTGTCAACTTTGATGTCAAGTTGACATAACACCTATGTCAGGTGACAGTTGTCATGACACTTTTTTGAGTGAAATGACACAGCATGTTATAAAAACTAACTTTTTAGCTTAGTGTATATCACAGTGACATAATGCTGATAAAGTGACAGCTTAAATCTTGGTAAGTGGTAAAATCATACTTGCTTTACCCAATTATATCACTGAGACATACGCTGAGCCGCAAACCCAGAAAGTGTCATGACACAACCTCATGTCAGAAAATGTCACCTGACACAGATGTTATGTCAACTTGACATCAAAGATGGAAAATGCAACCTTATGACAAATAACACCTATTGGAATAAGTACTTATGTGTCAATTGTCATTAAGGGCTTCTGTAGGTGCCATGTAGCCTTATAAACACTGCCCTACAATAAAGTGTTAACTTAGTTGCTTAATTCAGTACTGATGCTGCAGTTTCTTGGTTCATTGAGACACAGGGCTAATGTCTAGT